ATTGCTGTGAATAGATCTTAAGTGCGAATACTGAAATTCTAAAGCAAACAAAATGCTAACATTGAAAAGCAATGACAAAATAATGGCAGTAGTACATGCGTTTTATTTGTCGCTTCCAAATGACACGTGCACTTTATGTGCTTTCCAAAAAGGATGCCTGCCTCCACCAGGTGATTCACTTCTCCGCAAACTCTTCCAAATTCGATCTTTTCCCTCGAAAAAATGGTTCTTTTGCACTCAAGTTTCACAAGAGTTCAGCCTGGAACCAAAAAAAGAGTAAATTCTAAAGGAAAAATTGAAGAAAATTGAATTTTGCCCTGTAAATTATGGCCCCATTTGCACAAGAATGACGTCAGGAAATCAAAAATTTCCGTTTACTTTGGCTGATTAGGCTTAGGCTGAGGTTTTCTTGATAAATCAAGCTTGGCTCCAAAAAACGAGCAAATTCGGGAGGAAGCACGTTTTCAAGTTTTGAAAATTTACCCAAAAAATGGTTGAAATGGTTTAGACACTATGAACTTACAGAAAAAAAAATGTGTTTGCAGAGAAAATTTCAGATCTTCAATGTATTTTTCTTTTTTCTCTTGTCAAAAGCATCTAATCTGTGCATCATTGAGTCCATTTTTGAGCTCAATAGTGCATTTTGCAATTTTTGCTTTTAAGGAATTCACTGAAATCTTATTATTGGGTTGGGGAGAATGAGTCGGCGCCAAACTTTAAAGGGACTTTTTGCACACATAAAGCCTTCTTTAAATATACGTTTGGTTTCATCAAAAGGATCCACTATTTCTCTACAAAATGACTTTTGAGAGATTCCACAAAGCTTTTCTTTCGTGGAGTTTATGAACTTCCAAACGCAGCTGGTTAAAATGGCAAAGAGTCCGACTCATCATTTGAACAGTTTCTTTCACATAAACCTTCTTTGGTGTTTATATAAAAAAGATAGAGCACATTCAATTACTTAAGTTGCCAAATTTGCAGGAAGATCCCACCAATGGTTTTTTCTAGATCACAGTTTGTAGTTTTTGTGAAAAAATGGCTTTTTCTTGAGCGGAGGCGCTGTTTGAATTTTCTTTTAAATGTCATTTTGTAGAGAATTAGTTAACCATTCTACTCATATCAAACGCATATTATTTGACGAAGTCGAATAGAAGTTTCAGACATTTTTTTGATTTTCGGCGCCGACTCATTCTCCCCAACCCAATACAATTTATCAATTATCGCAGTAGATCTCAAACTTTCTTTATAAAACTTCAATAGAGTTAATTTTCAAAAAACTGGATTTAAGCACTATCTCCAAATCAATTTACGTGAATTCCTAAGCAACAATAATAGTAATGATCCTTTATTCAGATGATAGTGAAACTGAATAAATCATAGAGAAATGTACAGCGAGTCATAAATGTAGAGACAAAAGAAAGATACAAGATATAGAGAATATGCAAATACGAAGATACAAGATAGAGTGAAAATACAAGATATAGTGAATATGCAAATAATCAAATTGCCTACGAGGGAGAGTCGTTAGATCTATAGCATCGATTCGTTTCTTGAAAATGGAAAGGGACTGAATTTCTCGTATGTAATTTGGGAGCAAGTTCCATAACCTAGCAACTTTAACGGGAAATGAGTTTAATAAAGAAGCATTAGACGCAAAGAGAATCTGCAAAAGGAATGAACCACTTCTGGACTCTGATCTAGGGTTAAATTTCAAAAAGTCAACAAACAAAGGGCTAATCCGTTTGAGATTTTGAAAGTTTCGACTAGATCAAAGACAAAGCGACGATGTCGTTTTTAGTTTTAGTTTTTAGTTCAAAAAGAGCAAGTCTTTTTTCATAAATCAAGCTGGAATATTTAGAATAGTCGATTTTCCATAAAGCTATTTTTGTGAACCTCCTCTAAATTTTCTCCAAACATTCAATAGAGACTTGTGAACGAGGAGACCAAACAATAGAAACATATTCTAAGATGGGTCGGATATAACTGCTCAAGCGTTTCCGGTAAGAGTTTAGGTTGAGATGAACGATCGATCTAAGAATACGGCTGGAAACAAAAGAAGCCTTTCGACAGATGTTTTCATGTTTAGTGAAAACAAAAGGGGGAGGGATGTGGACACCAAAATCTCGAACAAAATCATCTTTACTAATGTAATGGATAGGAATATTATCAATTCAAACTCTATTTCTCAGTGAAAAAGTGTTGAGATTTTGATCGGGATAAGGAAAGCTTCCACGTTTTGGACCACATATTGATAAGTTCTAAATCGTAATTTGCTTCATTTACTGCCGGAAGCGAAACTACTTGAGTTCCGATGGGAATTTTGAAAATAAGCTTAACATTATCCACATAGAGCCAAATTGAGAAAGCTTTTGATTTGAAAGGACAGGTAGGCAGGTCATTAATATAGATAGTAAATAAAAGAGGACCAAGAATACTTCCCTGGGGAATCCCGCTAGAGCAATCGAAAGAGGGAAGGAGAATGTTGTTTAGAATTACTTTAAAGATCCGCTCAGAAAGAAAATTTTTTTATCATCGAAATTACGAGTGGGCTGAGCCTCAAATATCGGGCAGATTTGACATGGCTACAAGATCTAATTCGTTTACAGATTACTTCATTGAGACGGCATGTAGAAGGCCAAAAATTGGATAGGTCCACAATACGAGTCAAACATGTAGATATAACTTGTCGTTGGCTCGATTCGGCGGCGGAAACACGTACTATTTTTGTCGAAAACGTAACCATAGTGCCCAAAATCGTAATCGCTCCTTGCGACGCTCTTAGAAACTCGTTTGCACGAGAAACCAGTGCCGAGTGATTATCGCCTTGATCGACTCTTTGAAGTCCTTGCACCTGTGAAAGAAATTCACCGACCGGCGGAATCACAGCAATCATCAGATTGCGCTACAATGTGAATCACAGCTTCAGAACTCTTACTTGGAATTCCATGATTGACAATGCAGCCGACGATCGGATCCAAATTCCCGCGGATTGCAATCATTTAGATTTTCGTTTTCATCATGGCCACGTGGTAGAAGGGGGAGCAATCCGTGAAGCAGCCATTCAGAGAGATCTTCTCGCATCCGTTCAATTGCTTTTCGATGAATTTGCCGAGTAACTCTTTAATTGCTTGATCTTTTTTCAAAAGAGCCGACTCTGATGCGCAGTGTTGCGTTCTTTTTGACCGATCCACGAAAATTAGTGAGAAACTTCAGGCAATCTTCCTTCGTGTCAGCATAGAAAACCAATTGGTTCACGGATTTTAACTCCAACTAGAGATGCTGGTAGAAATGCGTAGAATGGCTATTTTTGGTTGGTTGGTAACCGTAAAACTTTTTGTAGCTGCACAAGCTCCGATAAGCGAATACTCTACGGCTTGAGTATTTGAAAAACTAGCGCACATTGAAGCTTTTATTGTTATGCTGAAGCTTTTGCACCGTCTTTTATATAATATTTATTCATTTCAACAATTTATAACACCAAGGTTCAGACTTGGACACAAACACATCAGAAGAATAAAGAAGAAATTTTAAAAATATTTAAATGTAAGGAAGTAGAATTTTCAAAAAAAAAAAACTAATTTATAAAGTCTTGTCACTAATTTTTTGAGTTTGGCTGGCTTGCAGCCGAAACTATTTATCGAAAACCCTAAAATGAAGTAGTTAAAACAGGGAAAATTTGCGATTAAGTCAATTTTATCTAATGCTTTAACTTTTCAGAATGACCTATTTTAGCCAACATCCAGTACCAAAAAGATGACACCAATAAATGATTTTTTGAAAAAACGGCTTCTATGTCAAAATTTCTTGGCCAAAGATAGAGATTATATTGCTCATTGTAGACTCCTTTGATATTGATAAAATCAGAAGTGATTTGTGTTTAGCATGCGAAATAGGTGAATTAAGGATAAGCTTGGCAAAGCAGAGATCGTTAAGGAGTCTACGATGGAGTAAGGATTTAAAAGAGAAAAGCTTAAGGCACCGTAAAGTACCTCAAAAAGGATGTTATTTGTTTAAAAAGTGACAGAAAGCAGCAACAAATGATTACTTCATTGAGACGGCATGTAGAAAGCCAAAAAATGAAAAAATCCTGGCACCTCGCAAAAGACGTCGATGCAACTCGTCGTTGGGTCGATTCGGCGACGAATGTAATAAAAGACCTTCTCGTTGTCTCCTCGGAGAAGCTCGTTTGCCCGAGCCACGAGTGCCGGGTGATTTTGGCCGTCATCGACCCGTTCAAGTCCTTGCGCCTGGGAGAGACATTCAGAGACATCCGAGTACGGATCACCTCCGTTTGTCTGATCGGCAATAACAGATCGGTTGTAATGTGAACCACAGTTTCAGAATTCTTACTTGGAACTCCTTGATTGACAAACGAGCAGACGATTTGATCAAATTCGAGGGAATGAGTGCAAATTGTAATCATTTTGATTTGCGTTTTCATCATGGCCTCATTGTAGACATGAAAGGAATTCTTCGAATCGCAATCCAACCTGATCTTCTCGCATCCGTTCAATTGGTTTTCGATGAATTTGCCGAGTAACTCTTTCATTGCTTGATCTTTTTCAAACGAGCCGATTCTGATGCGCAGTGTGGCGTTCTTTTTGACCGATCCATAAAAATTGGTGAGGAACCTCAGACAACCTTCTTTTCTGCCAACATCGAACACGAGTTGGTTCACGGATTTCAACTGGTCTAAGGACATTCCATCAATCCTTTCGGCATGTAAACTGATGTCTAACGTGCCGCATGAATCGATCCGTTTGACGAAAGGAAGAAGAGTTGCATTCAGTTGAAAGGACGGAGAATCGACGAACTTCTTGATCCAATTTTTCGGTTCTGAGCTCTGTCCCAGGACAATCACAGCGACGTGCTTTCCGAAAACGATCGATTGATCCGTTGCATAGCTCGAGTAGAGCCTCTTGTTCACTCTCATCAATTTCGCCACGTCTTTCACATCAAGATGGCATGCGATCTCCTCAACCAGCTCCAACGGCCAATCAGCGATCGTTGCAACCGGCATTCTCGTATCTGAAAAAGAAAAGAAATCAATGGAATTGGCACTTGTATGATTTAATGAAGTCACTTTTGTCCCCAAAACCCCTTTTTTAGGTTAATCTAGAGCATTAGTCATGTTTCATTGTAAAAATCATTTCAAGCAGTCCAATAAATTGTTTCTGATACTAATGACTCCATGAAACCACAAAACCAACGAAAAATGTATAAAAAACTAATTAGAAGCTATCAAACGTACATAAAGCTAAACCTCATCCAAAATTCCTTCACTGATTAAACCTTCCAGGTTAACAATCAAAGATACCTTTAGAAGCATACAACTTTTACTCTTTTCACATCAAAACATCCTTTTCACGATTTATTGCTATCCAAAACTTAACTTCAACATCTATGAAATATAGAAATAAGCTAAACGACATTAAACACATCAATCATCAAACAAAACAGCAGGAAAGAGCTAAAATAAATCATTTCATCAAAACGCCGCCTTTCGTTGAATCGAATCGACAAGGGAAGCACACAATTACCCATTCGAAGCTGCCAAAGCCTTCCCACAATTTCTTGGCAGCCTCTTCCAACACTGGTAAACTATCTTCTCCGTGAATTTGTTTCATCCCCGGGTAATTAGTATGAAAGATAACGATTTCAACCGGAAACTCTGGATCAGTCGAATCATTAAAATCATGCATTGAAGCCGTTTGCAATGAGAGCCTGGAAAAAAAAATACCATTATTGCATTGGGCATCATTCTGTAATGGATGCGTCCAAAGGATTTGCGGAGTGTAGCTAAAATTGTGCCGAGTGGAAAACGTTAAAAATAGCGGCGTCAAATTTCTTAGAATCCAAAAAACCAAGCAAAAAAGTTTTATGCCGAAAAATTCCTTGCGTTTTTGGCTAACTGAACATCCCTAGCGAGCCATTTAGAACGCTAATTTAATCTATGAAATATTAACTTTTAAAAACTTGAAGCTGCCACGGACGGAGTTGCACGGCCACAAGCCCAATCAAAATCCAACATCCCCTAAATTAAGAAAAATCATAACGAACTCTGTGGTATAACATACCTGGATAGCCTTCTGTTACTATCCCCAAACCACCGCGGTCGTAATCTCATTGAGCTGTGAACGCTTTGGCGACAACTTCTGCTTGATGTGTGGCGGTTCAGCAAACGATTTGAGAGAAGAAACCGAGGAGATGTTGGTCGTGTAAATAGAGGCGGTACCATCGTTAAACTCCTCCAGCTCTAACGTATCCGATTGCTGACTGAGGTGTTCGCACGAAATTGAACCGTCAGTCTAAAATTATCTTATTAGAAAAGCGCAAAATTTTAGGTGCTGACAATTACTACATACAAAAACATACCGACCCAACAAATTTGGCATCGTTGTCCAGAACGTCTTCTGGCCAGGCATCACCCTTCAAGCCAGCGCCAACAATCGCAGTCAACGGCGTCTCGGGTCCATAAATGCAGATCGGAGATCCAAGCGTTTCTAGCATCCTTGATCCTGCGCTAGCTCGTGCTTTGGTCCACTTCTTCGATCGTAGATTGAGATCTTATGGGCTTGGAGCATCAATGCAAAGTTGCAAAGTTCGATGATACCCTAAAAGAAAAGTATTAATGTACGGGCCAATAAACTTTACCTGGAAAGTCTCTCCAACCTTGATAAAGTTGGCAATCGCTCCACCGATGAAGAGCAATTTGCCGTCGGGACGTGGCGCACCCTGAGTCATCAAGGAAAGGATGGTCGATGCGTAGTTTCTAATTTCTCCCAAAGCTAAAATTTGCAATGAATCAAAAATTTTTATAGCAATTACTTGGATCCCCTGAGTATTCTCCATAGTTCGCCAATTCCGCGGCTGCATCATGACCAACGATTCGCTAGATAGCTAGACGGAACCAAAACCAGAAAGGTTTGCTAGTTTACTAATACTTAGCTCCACGGTTAACAACACAAAGTGATATGCGCTTTAGACAGCTTATAGCTAACAACATCAACGATATAGGTTAGTTTTTATATTTAACGGTAGTACCACAAAACAACCGCTCAACCCAACAATCACACAAACGTACAGAGATCGAAGAGTTGGTGAGCTAGAAGTTGCGGTTCGCATTCTCGCACGCCTCGACGACCTCCACGAAGTTGTCACCTCGACGAAGACGCAACATTTTCGGAGCCGAGACGATCCCCTCCAATCTCTTACGTCCAGCGAAGTGACGGTAGGGGATTTGCTTGCCGCTCAGCTCGCTAATCGACTTACCGGACATCTAAAAAGCAAAAAGTTTAAGTTCTAAAAAAGATGCAGACAAGAAAGAGAGAATCAAATTTTTGGCCCTTTCTAGGCTTTTAAAGAAAATTAAACAAACATTGAATACTCAGTCCAAGGATTGAATACGCTTCAACACTTTTTCATTTTCAAATAGAAGTTTCCTTTTTCAGTACAATTTAGGAAATATTTTTTTTGTGAAGCAGCAAGTTTTGCTCCTTGAACTGTACTTTGGCTTTTTCTTCTCTTGTGCATCCTTTTTTCCTCGACAACCAAAACCTCAACGTTAGCCTCGTAAATTTAAACGCTAGATTGGCTTAACGAGTCCTTAGCAAGTCCGGAACCTTATCGATACCGAGTCCGAGACTCGTTAAGCTATCGGAACCGATATCGAGTCCGGAATTTCGAAATTACCGATACCGATTAATTGAAATAATCGCTTAAGACATAAAAACAATTTTTCAAGTCCGAAACCCGGCCAGAAATTTGGCTTCTGGCCAGACCAGCCAGCTTTGAAAAATAGCTCATCTGTTCTAGGGATTTTTCAAAGTCTAGCCAGTTATAAAAATGTTCAAAAGTCTGACAAACTACTACAATTCAACTATGCTCACCCTCGTGATGTCTTTCTTCTTTCAACGTTTTCCCAGTTTGGGCATTGATTGGTGTAAGCTCTATTCGTTCATTTCAATTCCACCCTTTACGAATCCGATCATTTTCTCCTGAACACTTCAATTTTTCGCCAATCAGGCATCCTCAGTGGCTTTCCCCGTTCAATATGGGTATGTAAGTCTTTTAAAGATTGAAATCTTTGAGTTGCGTCCCAGAACCGACGGAAATTGCTGAATTGACTTGAAATGACGATTTTGATACAGTAAAAGTGCAGTGCTAAAGCAAAGTCTAAAAAATTGGAATTCATTGACCAGGAAACGCTTTAGTTTTCCACTGTGTGTTCCAGGCTTAACGAAAATTAATTTATGCCAGTTTTGGAAGCAATATTTCTGGTGGTTAAATCGAATCGGAATGCTTCTTTTAATTTTAGGTATGGAAAAGAGATTCTAATGTTTTCAATCTAACTTGTGAATTCCAATTTGGATTTTAAAATTTAAAATTCGAATTTTTGGATTTCCAGATTTCAAGCAATCAATCTCTTCATGTTTCTCATGGAAACGATGATCGTTTTTCTGAAAAAATTTGTCGCTTTGTGCACAATTTTCGTAAATGCACTCTTTCTGGTCCACGAGAAGCGGCTATTTTGCCCTTAGCCGGTGCACCAGAAAGGTTCGTTTTTATTTTTTTGAAGCACACAGAGAACGCTTCGGTGTGCCAGATCGTTTGCGTTTACAGCTGAGCCTGTTCTTTGGGGGTGTACTTTGTGCTCGAAAAATATGTAAACGCATCCTTTCTGGTGCGACAAAGAAAGTGAATTGTTTGAATTTGAAAATTTAAGTGCTGTTTGTCGAGCACGGCAGCAATTCTCCTTCACGAGATTTTTTCTACGAAGTTTCATATTTCGCCATTCTCCTCAAAGCCGATTTTGATCGATGGAGTACTGTGAAAGCTCAGGGAAATGAAAAAAATAATCGTCCCAACGCTAAAAATGAAGGAATGGACTTAGGATCTGAATAGAATCTGGGAAAATCGATGAATTAGGCAATTTTTTTAAACCCATGATTATAGAAGGACACACTTGACAGGGCTACTATAGCTAGGACACTTTTTAGAGCTGATTTTGAAATAGATTA